AGACCTGACCACCTGTAGACCCCACACCATAGACCTGACCACCTGTAGACCCCACATCATAGCCTTGCCCCCACAGACTATACATTCGGCACTAGGCTTGATGGGTGCATCACTTCACCTGCCTCTCTTCTTACCCATCACTCTGGAACAAGGTAAACCTGGACTCATCAGACCACATGATCTTCTTCCATTGTTCCAGAGTCCAATCTTTATGCTCCCTATCAAACTGAAGCCTTTTTTTCCTCTTAGCCAATGTTTTGACCCTTCTCAATCAGACTGACATCTTTTCCACGACCACGGGATGTGTCTTTCCATATGGTTGTTTAAGAAATGAGAAGCAACTCATTGCTTCACTTGGGGTTAAATAAYTTGTTGCAGCTGAAAGATAATCCCAATGCAGTAATCCACCTGGATTTAAGTAAGCAAATAGGTACGAGCCTCCAATAGGAGGCTCGTACCTATTTGCTTACTTAAATCCAGGTGTCCAGGCAGTGTGTGTTGCAGTATTTCACTGGATATATAATCTAAAAGTGGAGGGTGTTGGACTTATGTATAGTTTTTGTAATTGTGAGTAATGAGTTTCTGCTTTTTGTATTTTTCAGGCAAGAAGCGGCGGCTGACTTTCATGGAGTGTAACAACGACATCAACACAATGGTTGATCTGGCCAAGGTTGCTGACCTTGTAAGTTTTATGCTTCAGTCAACAACCCCTGTTGAAATGAATTAGACAGTATATGCAGAGTGGAATAAATAAAGCTGGTTTGTTTTTCCTTCTGTTTCCAGGTGTTAATGTTAATTGATGCCAGCTTTGGCTTTGAGATGGAGACGTTTGAGTTCCTCAACATTTGTCAGGTGCATGGTTTCCCTCGAATCATGGGTGTACTGACTCACTTGGATTCATTCAAGAACAACAAAACATTGAGGAAGACTAAGAAGAAGCTCAAACACCGTTTTTGGACTGAAGTTTACCAAGTAAACACATTAGCAGTCCTTCACTGCTGACGACTTTTTGTTTTTGTTTTATTCAGAATCCCATAGCCCACAAGCCTTTTTTATCCTTTTTATGTATATTTTTGTTGTATTTCAATCTACCAGGGAGCGAAACTGTTCTATCTGTCTGGAATGGTGTATGGAGAATATCAGAATCAAGAAGTGAAGAACCTTGGGCGCTTCATCTCTGTCATGAAGTTTCGTCCTCTGGTGTGGCAGACCTCTCATCCTTATGTGCTAGTTGACCGGTAAGATGACAAAATCCAAATGATCCTTGATCAGTTTTACTTTGTTTTGACTCTACTTTGTAGTTCTTTTAGTAAAATGCTCAATGTGACTGATTAAAAACTAAAACACAAAACAACTAGGGTCTCATGAATAAAAAGCTGCGTTTATTTTTTCTTTTACTCAGTCATGATGTACACATAGACTAACCCAGATGTATGAAACTGCTGCATACACGAGCCTAGACACATTTCCTTGTTATTTTGTTTGTACCCTTTTGTTAAAAAAGAAAAAGTCATTTTTTACTGCCAGCTGAACTCAGTCAGCTTAAAAAGTCAGAAAATATCATGAAATAAGATCAATAAATAACAGATGACTATTTGGTCCGGATTCTTTGTGAGTCAACAGTCTCATCATCTGATTATTAAACATGAAAGTTGTAAGAGTTTAACCTTACACTCTTATAACCAGGTTATAAGGAACTTATTTTAGCAAAGATCACTTTATTTTCGGTTAAATATTCTTCCAGTGCAAAATGAATGGACACACAAAAGTGACTGTCAGTCAGTGAATTTTGATTTGATCCATAAATAAATGCACTTGTTTATTTTACAAATCAGACAAAATCACTACAGTACACTTAATTGTGGGCAATCAATTTCCTATAAAAGTATTAGAACCAACAATAACAAGCGCTTCGAGCATGTTAATTGTCAACCATAGGCACTTAAAAGAACACAAACGTCAGTTTAGATGTTTAATATCAGACATTTGAGGCAATTAACTTAGTTGGCAAGATAGATTTTAAGAAAAGGATGAAATGTTAGCTTTTCCTACTTTTAACTTAAATAAATGTGGGTTTAAACCAGAGAGGCGAGACGTTCTCTGCTCGACGTTCAGCCAGACAATGATACTCGTAACACAGCCAGCTTTACCTCTAGATGAGGTCAGTCACCTGTCCAGGTATTTCGGGCTTCTGCTTAGAAAATCAATTTTAGGACCGTCAACACAGGGGGACCATGAAGGCGTGTAAATCAGACCCGCGTGCGTCCACGTCAAGCCGTAGAAAGAAGGTGAAGCCAAACACTGGACCCAGACCAAAATAAAACTTCCAACAGGAAAGTTTCAAAGTTGGATAAACCAGACGTAGGCCGTACCCGGCTGTGCTGTTTCCCTGTTGGTGATGAAGGGCTTGAACCGACACAGCTACAGCTCCTGATCCTGATCCTCAGGAGCTGTAGCTGGAGGGGAGAACCTAGCTGAGAGGGACTGTCGTCCTCACAGACGAGCAGTCCGTAACTTTCTGCGGTCCGGGTGGAAACTGTTGTTTCTAAAGAGCTTAGAGAATCTAGTTCCGCCCTCCGGAGGTTAGATTAGAAGAGAAGTTATCAAGGAAGGGTTAGTTTAGAGACTTGTCGTCGCCTCCTGAAACTAAACTAGATTATTCTGTGTGGTTTAGAAACAAAACATTTCATGACCCATTTAATTACTATCTGATGAGAACCTCTTCAACACATAACTGAAAGAATGAATTGCTTCAGCTTCAAAACATTTGAAGCTCTGTTCTACGCTAAAACTAATCTAAAAAAAAAACTACTCTCACAATATGTTTTAGGATGCAATCATTTTATACTTTAATAAAAACACCCAACGAACGTCTGATGTGATCATTTTATTCTTGCTGATAATATTTCCTGCTGATCACTTTGTGCACTTTAACAGATACTGTAATGTAAAATACACTGCCTGGGCCAAAAATGTAGTCTCCACCTGGATTTAACTGAGTGTTGTGATGTGGGTCTGCTGCAGGTGGTCAGGTCCAGGTTCAGGTGCTGACCTGAATATACTGAATGAGCAGGGGTCTCATTTATAAAGGATTGCGTGGAAACCATACTAAAAGTGAACGTACGGCCAAAAGGCCGAAATGGCGTACGCCAAAAAAAAATTCAGATTTATAAAACCATACGTACGCACGTTTCTGCACATCCTTCCTTTATAAATCACAGCCGCACGTCAGAGTTTGCGCACGAGGTCCTCCTCAGGTTCTACCCTCTACACGCCCACACTCAACCATAAACAGTCAATGTAAAGAACCTCATGAATGTTAAGATGTATTTAAATCAGTCAGCTGATCAGTGATTGGTTCAGACACGCTCCTTCCTGTGTCTGGAGGTTGACAGGTGCTGACTGACAGCTGCTCACCTGAACAGAATGTCTGTAACTGACACAGATTTTCCCTCATTTTGCTTTACAGTAATCTAACCATTTTTATAAAAAATAAAAATAAAAAACCTCAGCTTCAAATAAATTTTCCATCAGAGCCTGCAGGACGATAAAAACAATAAAAATTAAATTAAATAAGTCAGGTAAAATTAGGAATAAGTCCCCCGCTCTTCTCATCCTCTCCCCCTCCTGCCCCTCATTTTTTAAAATCAGTTCATTAATTATTGAATCAATCAATCAATCGTTTTGTCCATTCACTCACTGTTGACTTTGGCCTCTCGTTTCTGCAGCATTGAGGACTTAACAGATCCTGAGAATATCAGGACAAACCCCAAGTGTGACAGGACTGTGTCACTCTACGGCTACCTGAGAGGGGCTCATTTAAAGAACAGAAGCCACGTCCATATTCCAGGTAAAATTTAAAAAGTTATTAAGTTCTGTCATTTTTTTCATAATTGATTTTTACAGCAAGGAATAATTACGTCACCGTATGGTTACAGATCCAGTCTGTGACCACTTCCATGTTTCTCCATTCTCGTTATTTACATGTTTATGAACTTATACGCAGTGGCGGCTGGTGAATTTTTCTCTTGGGGGGGGGGGCTACTACTCCAAAATAGATGTATCTCAGAAAGCAATCAAATATGTAACAAGTTGTTTCACACCAGTGTATTTTTTTAAACAAATCCAAATAATAAAACAGTCATGTAGTGTTTTATTTTTTGTACATAAATTTTGCTCTTCTGTTACTGAGAAACAAATTTCTTCATGACTCTGGTTAAAGTCAGGGATGTTTGAACCAGATTCTTCTCTATAGAGCATGGTCAGTGCAGTGAGATGTGATGTTGTACCTGAGGAAAGTCTGGATTGTCTTCAGTGACCGCTGTGGTATTCTCAGTCCAGGTGAAGTCGACTGTGATATGGACGCCCAGAAACTGGAAATTATGGACCCTCTCTACACACACACCGTTGATGTAGAGKGGGGCCAGATTTCTGCTGACTTTCCTGAAGTCARCAATGACCTCCTTGGTTTTTTTGGTGTTTAGGGTCAGGTTATTCCTTGAACACCAGGATGTCAGGTCCAGGATCTCCTGTCTGTATGCTCCCTCGTTTCCCTCATATATAAATCTGACCCGATGCACAGTGAACAGCTCGTGACCTGGAAGTGACGCAACATGAAAAAGCTCATGAGTAAAATAAAAGTTTACACATTAATAACTCTAAATTATTTATTTCACATATCAGAAAACATATACGAGATTTTTTTTAAACATTTATAACATTTTATTTTTAAGTTTTTTACTTTTTTGTGTACCAAAAATAGTGGTGGGGCGGCGCCCTAGCGCCCCCTATTGACCAGCCGCCATATAAAAATGAGCGGATTGGTTCTGGAAAGAATTTGAAAGGTTCTTGAGTTYGATGTTAACTGAGGTGTGTGAACCCTGTAATATCATACAGGTAATAATGAAACAGCTTATTATGAAATATTTAGAACTTCATAACAGGCTGCAGCAACGTTCGTTCAAACATATTGTTCTGTGTTCTGAGTGCAGGTGTTGGAGACTTTCAAGTGGGTGATGTGAACTTCCTGCAAGACCCATGTGCTCTGCCAGACGCTCAGAAGAAGAGAGCCCTGAACGAAAAGGAGCGACTGCTTTATGCACCGATGTCTGGGGTCGGGGGGCTCGTGTACGACAAAGATGCTGTTTATATCGACCTTCCTGCCAGCCACGTCAATCAGCAGCAGGTGTTTGTAGATGTTAGCTGAGGCTGTGTGTATGGAAATAATTAAACACTGTAAGTAACTGTGCTGTTTGTMTGATGTTACAGGAGGAGCTGCGTCCCACCACAGAGCTGGTGCAGTCTCTCATTGACACACACGCTACTCTTGATGCCAAGATGGCCGTCAGTAAGGTGTCTCTTTTCAGCGGCTCGGCCGTGTTGGACCCAACAGATGTGACCGAGCAGAGCAGGTGAGACTTGGCACTGCAGCTTCGTTGGTTTGTACAAACAAAAATTTAAACTATGGTTAAAAACAACATTTATGAGTGCAACTGTTGGAAATGATCAGTCTGAGCCGGAGCTGCCTTTTATAACAACATGCGTCTTATGCTGCGTTCACACCGAACGCGATTTCAGCGTCAGGAGCAGCAGGTTTACAT